GAAGAATTCATGTCACTGTGCATAGAAATATATTGATATTTTGAAGCCTTTATGTCAACGTGCTTGTTGCCCGAATGTTCGACTCAATATTGTGGCCGCTTTTTGACTAAAGTTCGCATACTTACCATCAATTTTTCCCTGCACTACTCAGGTCTGGCTAACTGTGACTTTTAACTAAGTATGTATTCAGTAAGTTTTTTTTAGCTATGAAAGGGAAGGATCTGCGGACGTAAAATTCATTTAAAAGGATTGTAAAAAAATTGTGTTACTTGAATTCCACAATATTTTGAAATAAATTAAGTATGTCATCCCAAAGCTTTTTGTGAGTGGAAAATTAGAAATGGTAAACGTATGTAGATACATATCGTCACCTGAAATGCAAAAATACTTAATAACGTTTATTTTTTCTATAATAGGTTCATTCCTTATCTTTTTCGACTAAAATCTGAAAAGTGTCAAAATGCCAGAGCGTAAGCAAAATGCGCTCACTTAAAGAGAATAACAGGAAAAGTAAAGGAACGCAAAAAACCACATTTTTAGTCCGAAGAATGGCAACAACAAAACTAACGTCAAATAAGAATGGAAATGTATGTACAAAACACATTCACACAAGCACAATAAACATTTACTATATCAATTATTTTTTGCCTCCTTCCAATTTCAATTCACTTCTTTTACTTTTTAGATTATTCTCACTTTTTGCGTATTCTTTAATTTCCGTTAATTTAAATTCAGTTGAGTTTGACACTTCAGGATTTTGCCAGGAAAAATTCTTCTGACTAAATCTGACGACTTCGGACTGACGACTTCTCACTGAGTGTTGCTCTCTCATTTTTGCTGTCATTTCCGAGTTAAGGAACGCTTTTTGGACTAAATCTGACTACTTCGGACTTTTTCTGACTATTTCTGGGAGATAACGAACGCTCCTAAAATGATGTGGGGAGTTGTTATTCGATGAAATCCATCATATAAATCAAAAAGTGAATTTTGCATTTTTTTATTAGTTATGACTTTTTGCATTTCAGGTGACGATATGTGCTTTATCACTATCGTTGAAATTCAATAACTGGAATAAGACTTTCTAAAGAGATAAAAGTCGCGCAGGTGAAATGCTGGTTAAGCTTCGAGCAAACGACAATAAAATTTCTATTTTATTTTTTATGTGCATATTAAATTATTGAAAGGTTCATTCAAAGCCAGTACTTCTACATAGCAAAATATTTAATCGCAAACCACGACAACAAATTAAAGTTTATGCGTTGTTTTTTTTTTCTTTCTTGAATTTGCAAATTAAATGAGCTCAAGGAAACCATAAAAATATCACGCAGTCAGCTCAGTACTGGCTCACCACCAAATTACCGATCATCGAAGGCAACTTGCTATACAACTAACTAATACAATCTTAACTACTTAATGGGCTAATATAAAATAATAAATCGAAATTATTGCACTTGACTAGCTGTCAGTGGTTCTGACATCAGCAAAAAGACAAGCCTATGTAGCTTTATAATGGCTACCAAGTATTAGGTGCGTTCACATTGAATATCCGCCGATTAGCCATTTATTGGTCGTCATAAATATATCAACTCCTTATCAATAACGTCAAATGGAATGCAAGGCGATAACAATTATGTTTTTTTTTTTTAATAAAATTTTATAAAATCATAAATAATTTTTGTTGGTCATAAATCAGCAAGCTGCAAGAAAATGAAAAGTGTAGATTAATAATGGCCAAACTTGATCAGACTGCAGCTTTAAATTTTAATATTAGCTTAGGTTAGCACTTTTTTTCAGACAGTTGAGCGCGATGCAATTCTCATATCAGTATTTGGCTTTATTTATGGCTTCCAATTGACGTCATGTTGCTCTTAATGTACTTGTAAATATGAACATATGTATGTATGTACTTAAATATCAAAAAGTAATCTAAAAAAAAACCCCAAAACATAAACACCAAATTCGTCACTGTCACTAAAGTGAACGACAGCAGTTATTCTTCGAAACGCCTTCCTCGACATAAATTTGGCTGATACGGCACTTTGGCCCTCAGTTAGGCCCTCAACAAGTGGTGGTCGACGATGCAGCTTGGCACGTTTGTAGAATAGCAAATACGTTTGTAGCTGACTATCTAAAACGTTCAGGTGAATCGGTCAGTTCAATCGGTCAACTTGGCTGAAGCGCAACTTTTACAAGTTGGACAGGTTCATCAATATTCTAAATGAATACTTGATGCGACTAGAGCTTCATGACAACTTAGGTTTTTGAATATATACTATCCATACCTATAATTATTTGTATGTATGTATATTAAGGCGCATTTTATTGTATGTGTGTATATATTTTCGCACTTGCTGCTGTAGTTCGAAATGCGGCGTCAGCATTTGCCATTGTTCAGGGGCGCGTCGATTACCACCCACATATACAAATGTATGTGTATACACTTACGTACACTCTAAAAAATGTTTGTTTAAATTTGCCCTGGCTTTGGCTGTTTACTTTTACATGCCAAATTTGTCGCGTAGAGCAAAATTACACACAAAAAGTTTAAAATCGAGTAAATATGTGCACTTAATGGTTATTATTAGTAAAAGATGTATTTTTACTTTAAAGAATTTTTGCAATTTTAAACATTTAATGTATATATTTATGTGTATATTTTAAACATATCATGTTCAAAATCAAATCTTGACAGCTTGTGCGTATATTTACATAGATTTTGGTTGAAAAATAAACACTTTTCAGTAGTAGTAGTTTTACATGCAATTTTTAGAGTGTACATGAATATGTATGTACAATGAGTTTAACTGTATGTACATATGTACATACTTGTTAGTATTTTTTTACATATATATATTAGGGGTTTCTTGTATACAAATAGATGCACTTTTTTCCATGCATACACACCTAGTTCAACTAATTCCGTATGAAAGGAAGCGACTTGATATAAATGTACATTAAATAAATATTTATGCATAAAAAAGCTGTACTATACATGTGGAATTGATGAACAAAACATATTTCAAATAAAACGACACGCGTTCTGTGTCTACCTGCCATCGCGCGCGTTGCCTATGAATACCGAAACATTTGAAAGCTGTCGTCCAAATTTAGAAATGTTAAATTGAATTAAATTAAAATTACAAAAAAAAAAAATCAGATTTGAATTAGTATACAAAACGAATGGGATTTGCAGAACAGCAACTGGTGGCTGTTCCACTGCTTTCGTGCTAGCCTCAGGGCTAGTTTCTGCCAGTACACTGGTGGTTGTTGGTGACCACCGACTACATTCATATTTCAATAAAAACAACAATTTTTCAATGTTATGCGCTAGTTTCTTCTGAGCCAACAATTAACAAGTTGACGATTTGTATGTATGTATAGTTGTTGGTGTACTATCAGTAAATGCTGCCAAGTTAATGAGAATAAATGGCTTAAAGTTCACATGAAATTAAATTCCATAACAAAAATATGTTTATGAACTTAAATCCCCCGCTCGAGAATTGAAAAATAACAAAACAGCCGTACCTGGGAGAATACCCTCCAAAATTAAAGAGAGTCCCAATTTACTGATAAGTGGCACACAACTCATAGACCTCCTAGCACAAAAAACTTGTGGAATAAACAATACGGGCATTAAAGCTCAGAAACAGTGGCTGGGATAATAGGCTAATAGCTGCCGTGCAAACCTCGGTCACCAGAAGTTTTAGAGAGATTTCTATAAGGAACGGATACTTCTAGGAACGCCCTCATAAACACGGTGAAAAATGCGCCATTGTCTGTCAAAGGAAACGCTGCTTGAAACCCAGCCAGATATCGAATTATTATTTTATTAATTAATTATTTGCTTACTTAATTGTTCATCCATTTTTTTAACACTAAATAAGAGTCAGGATCATAGGTTTATATAGCAGATAATGACTATGCAGTAACAACCAAGCTGCACTCAAGGCATTGGTCAGCCCGCTAACTACTTCCAGATTAATACATATAGTACATATCTGGTAATGAGACGTATTCCTTGGTCGGTCCGCAAACCAGCCGTCAGAAACTGGTAGAATATCAGAAGATATTACAATGGACGTAGTCTGATTGTGGTGGTTTCATCCATGAATTGTTTTGTCTTTAGTTTCGACATAAAAAAAATCTGTAGTGCGTTGTTAGATATGATTATTTGTCTTCGGTTTTTTTTTGCTAGTCATCGCATATTTTATTCATGGTTTTATTTAAGTGTCGAATTTGCATAGATCACAACTGGTTTGTCGGTTGAACAACACCTGCCCGAGAAGACGATAAACGCACAAGGCTAGATATTACCAAAAGCACAAACAAAATATTCCCATTTAAACTTTCAAAAGCGCGCGCCACACAAACATGGTTTTATTCATTTTATATAACAGTGCTGAAAACTAACGGCTTTCGTTTGAGGCTTATAAAAAAGTTAAAAGGGATTTGCCTTCCTAATATCTATAAACCAAAAATAAAACAATATCTGAAATCGCCAATTAATATAATCGTCTCATAAGCAGCATTTAAAGGCAAGCGAATGCGGAAAAGAAAAAAACCTTTTTTATGTAACATTACCAGACGTGCCGGCGACAGCGCACAACCTTCATTAAACAACATCAAAAAAATTAAAGCGACTAAAATTATTTATTTATTAGTTAAGTAGGCTTTTGCTGATAAACAAATCCTTTATATTCTGTATTTGATTTTGTGCTATTGCCCTACATTTGGCCCAATTTGGGGTGTAACCAGCACACTGAAATGATAAAGATAGTAAAGAGTACTAAATACTACCTACAAATGTATGTATGTATGTAAATATGTACCTATGTAGTAATATTTAATTTAGATAAATAGTAAAGTGCGAATATTTCTCTACAAAAGCGTCTCTTGGTTGGTTGTCTCTTGGTTACTAACAAAAATAGCTAAGCCAAATAATTTAAGTATGTATTTAGTTAAATTTTTTCTAATTGTTCTTTCCTATCTTATATTTACAGAAACTGCCTACGTCGCATTGCGCGTCATGATGAACCACAATTCTCGAAGGACAGCATCGTTAATGTAATGGAGAGATTTGTGAAATCTGTGAAAGTGATGGATGATACCATACTCGTACCATGTTTGCTTATGGATCGACAGGTTGGTGCAAATAAAATTTTTTAAAATTATTATTTGAAATATTTCTGGCATTAGAAGGATACAACTTTGCTATTGGATTTAAACTTTAACCTTTTTGCAAAGCAACTACGAACGAATACGATTTCGAACAGAAATGCGAGTTCGAATATGAATATGAATGCGAGTACAAATACGAATGTGCATATTAATATGAATATGAATGTAGATATGAATATAAATACAAATATGAACATGAATATGTATATGAATACGAATATGAAAGTAAATATGAATATGAATATGAGTATGAATATAAATATGAATATGAATATGGATATGGATATGAATATGAATACAAATATGAACATGAATATGTATATGAATACGAATATGAAAGTAAATATGAGTATAAATATGAATATGAATATAAATATGAATATGAATATGAATATGGATATGGATATGAATATGAATATGAATATGAATATGAGTATAAATATGAATATGAACTGAATATGAATATGAATATGAATATGGATACGGATATGAATATAAAAATATAAATACGAGTACGAATTTCAATTGGAACATGAATATGAAGCCGAGTACAAATTCGAAAATGAATACAAATGCGAATACTACTTCGATAAATTTACGAATATTTATACATACACGAATGAGTGCGAATGAGAGATGAGTACGATTAGTAATATGGCCACCGATTGTTCGCTTACAGGTCTATTCTGCGCTGGTAATAAACATTTTGTAACCGGTAAATAAAGTTCCTGTAAATTTTTAAACCCTTTTCGCATTCTGTGTACTCTTGTAACCGGTAAATTTTGTTACTATCTCATAAGCTAGTAACAAAGTATTGCCCCGTGAAATATGAAATGCCAGAATTTCCACAATTCTTCATAGCTTTAACTGCGTTACCAACAACATTTTTTCGTAATAAAATTTTCCGGTTACAAAATCTTCGGTAACGTGCAGAATTGACCTGTTTGTGTTAATGTGGGAAAAAACTGGCCTTTTGACCTTAAAAAAAAATTAAGCAATTTTATTAATTTCAAAGTTATGACTGAATCTCTCATATTGGGTGTAAAATCTTAAAGTTTTTCAGAACCCAAACTTAATTATATTCGTAAGGTTAAGAAGCGAGCACAGAAGACCTCGGTAGCCAAATATGCAGCCAAAGCAACAGCGATTGTACACTAAATGTACACGTCTATTCCAAAATTCAGAGGCCAGCAACAAAGGCTATGAACGATTTATTACCGTTCAACTTTTTTATTGAAAATAAAGGCCGATCAGGTACAGTTCGTACTGGGTACATAGACCCTCATTTGCTTAAAAGTAAAGCCTGGGACCCAATTCTTAGAGGATATCGTTACAGAGCAACTTAACGTGGAGCTAGCCTTTAGATTAACGAAAAAGGCAAGCGTTTTCTTGGAGGGAACATTTTCTTAGATAGATAGTCGGCAATTCAGATTCTCTCTTCCTCCTTGGTTAGTTCGCAAATGTTGGAGAACTATAGGGGCATATACCTAAAGGAGATAGAAGATGAGCTGTTGACGTATGGCTCTGGACTAAATGTGCCTCAAGCAGTGTATATGGGGGCCTCGGCCAGGGAAATTGAAAAAAGAATTACACTAGACGACGATAATAATAATAATAATAGCAACAATTAAAAAACGGTAAAAACACCCAAAACACAACAGCTAAACTATCGGCAATAATTTGGTATTGGAAACCATATTCATGGCCTTAACTTAAACGGGCGCGACGAGTAAATCGCTTATTTTTGTTCCTGGATCAAATTCAATATTAAAAGGGGTTTCTTCAAAGTCTATTTGCCAGGAAAATTACCATAAACTGTCAATAAAGCCTTATGTTTAAGCATATAGTACATATACATATGTACATACATATATACGAAAAATTCAATAACCAAAACTTGCATCTAACACTGTGTCTCTTTCCCTCTCTTTCAGGTCGGTGATAGCACAGATATTATACCAGCACCTGGCAAGAATTCCACATCCAATCAGCATATGCTTGAACATGCTGGCGCACATGGTAAACGCAGTGCTAAACACTCCAAGAACGTACACGAATTCCTTAACTCGTCGGAGCTCTTCAACCTTTACAACATGCTGAATGCGCTCAAGACTGATCTGCTCTGGACGGGCAAGGATGATTCGGATGATGATGCGGACAGCACAGGCGATGAGCAACTACGCCATACCGAAGGAGACAATATACTCTATACGCGTTGCGATTCCAACAAATCGGATGCGGTCAGTGTGACGAGCAGTAGCAGTCCATCGACAGCGCCCAACACAGCCAACAACGCCGCTACCGCCGCCACAATCACCACAACCACCAACAGCAGCGCCAAAGGTCACAATCGTTGCCCCTCCACCGCCTCGGTGGCCTCGATTGTCTCCGCCACATCGGTTTGCAATCTAAGCGATTCGGAAAGTGAAATTTCCAATGAAAACGATTCGGGTATGGAGTCAGAGGGTCATAAGCCCAGCAGCACTGCATCTGTTAGTGGTAGTGATGATACAGACTCCCGTGCCGCAGCCGTCGCCAACTCAACCGCCAATGCCGATAAAGCTACCGAATTGGCGAAACGTTGCCGGCGACATTTGAATGGACTCTACCAATGTTTGGAACAAATGACAGAGGCGGCACACTATTTGACCGTCAGATACCAAAGTGATATTGGTCCCGTTTAGGGATGAACTGCGGAGGGGCGCGCGCGCGCGCATTACGAGCTGCTCTGGGATGGAGCGGGGCACGAACTGAAGCAAGCTGGCAGCGACAGAAGTCCGAGGGATTTGTGTGGGCGAGTGCAATGAATGGCGTGCCGTGTGTTCTGGGGGGG